AACTTCTCAGAGCAATGGTTTGTGGCAAAAATGAGGAGTTCCAAGAGCCTGCGGGAGGAACTAAGAAAAGTAAATTAGTCATGAAGTCAGAAAACAAAGTCTGTGACCTTTCTGAAGCCAGTGTTACAGTCGAAGACCAGATAGAGACCCATAACATGAAGTTACCTAGTGCCTTGCCAACACATCTGCTCAGGGGAATGTTTTTCATTTTGATCAGGAGCAGCTAACTTGGACTTGGTAACACCTACTGACTCTCACACCAGGGAAGGTAAATCAGGACTCGGGCTCATATTTGCATAGAAAATGCCAGATTCTTATCTCTTTTTTTGTAATGTGCATTGCCAAGCTCTTCTAAAACTGCCTCTTGCCTCTGGTTCTGAGCAGAATGATAGATGTTTTCCAAATCGGAGATCACAGTTTGACCTTTAAGTTTCATGTGTGTTGTGTGCTTTCATTATTCTTTTTTCTGTGTGATGCTCAACAAAGATTTCAGGAAAAAAAGGAGTTCCTCTTTGAGGAAATTAGGAAATGCCTTGTAAGACCTAGAAAGGGAGACTTGGGAACCCTGGATTTTGCCTGATGACTTTCTGTGTGACCATAGTACATCCACCCAAGGAATTCATGTAATATTATTCCTGTGGGATTAAGAGAAAGCTTTGGGAATGTTAGAAATGCTACTTTGGGATCTTCAAAAGCACGAAGGAGGTGATGAAAATCGAAGAGGATAGTGGTGTTTGAAGTGGGACCACAGAAATATAAAGTGAGAGGGGAACGCTCTTCGGAGGGTCAGATTACAAAAGTTTGTGCTCAGTATCCACCATGACATTTCTGGTTCCTATTCTGTAATTCAAAACAGACGTTTCTTACAGAAATAGACAATCACTGGATGCCCACCAGGCACTGAGGCTTTGCTGCAGATAATTACGATCTGATGAATGAGCTGCGTCTCGGGCTGGGCTCTAACAATGGTTTGCCAGGAGCTCTGCCATCCCACGGGGAAGGAGCTGATGCTCTCCAGCTCCTCCAGTATCGCTCTGGCAGAGACCCACACATGGTCCCTGCTCTGCCTGGGAGCACGTAGCCATCGGTAGTTTCTGCAGCAGTAGTTGGGTAAGGATGCTGGGTGATCAAAGAGCAGGCTAATCAGGCTGGATGGATCAGCAGTTTGTGGCGGCTGGAAAACCAGATGCATCTTGTTTTGTGCCCTCTCCAAATGGTCAGATGTGCCCTCTGACGGCCGCTGTCGCTGGGTCGGAGCCGTCTGACATTGATGGTGGCCTGAGGTGGAAACTATTAGATGTCCACAGGGGGTGTGTGCTCAGGAGCCCGAGGAAGCGGCGCCCACCCGAGCGTGAGGCACAATCCATGGAGCTGCAGAGGGTGTGCCTCGGGATGAACACGATGATTTATGGTTCAGCGGGATGGAGCCGTGGTTGTGTTGTGATGAAGAGGGCTGCCTTTTGCATAGCAGATACTAACAAACTTTGCAAGGCTGGGAACTCCTTCAAACTGCATGAATGAGTTTGCCTGTGACTTGCCAAAATGTGCAGATTGTTCTCCTATTGCGCATCGGTTTAATTAGAGATTCAGGGAACCACCTGACTTTCCCTAAGAGCCCTGCCAGCTCTATCAGCAGGTAACCTGCTCTGCACCAGGACTTGCAGAACTGCAGGCCAGTGATTACTATTTGTGTTACAGCAGCTTTCAAAATTCCCTTTTAGGCTTGGGGCCTGCTTTGCTCAATACTAAAAACTTTCCAGTGCTGCTTTTACAAAGCATGAGGCACCTCACAGGCTCCTGGCTTGCCTTTAGTTTTTTGATGTATTCTATGTGCTTACTGTGCTGACTTGAAATTTGCTCAAGGCAGAAGAATTATAAAATTAGCAGGGAGGGACAGACGAAAAAAGTAAATGAAGTCTTTGTTTTTCTTATGTAGCACCAATCTGTGCCAGCCTGATTTCTAAACAGAAACTTTAAATAGAAATGCATGTTTTCCTTTGAAATATCCCAGAAAAAGAAAGCAAAGTTATCCCAAAATAGTTAGTGAACTACAATAGCTTGATGAAAGTCTCTTTAGAGTGTTTCACTATGCTTTGAATTCTTTGAGATTTACTCAGCCTTCTTCATCACCCTCTATAAATGCTGAATCACTCTAGGACATCTAACGGGATTTAATGCATTCACCACCTTCAGTTCAGGAGCTGTGATTTTGGGATAGTCTCTGTCCTTTCTTTTCCTATGCAGCAACTTAATTTTTGATGTACTGATCTAGGATCATACTGATCTGTTGGTACAAACCAGGATGTCCTACTGAAGCACATGGAGGTGCAGTGCTGTGAAAGAACTGTGCACTTGTTTTCACACCTATGTGTATTTATTGCACGGACATCTGAACGTGTATATCCACTGTCTGACTACCTCTGCTTTGAAACAGTAGGTTTCAAAGTTGTGAGTTGCTCTCAAGCCTGGGGCTTTCTGATTCCACACATTGTTTGGTCATTTTCTGCCCTCTACACTGTGCTGCATTATCTCAACTCTGCTTTCCTATTGAAATAACAGGCGGAAATTTGGAGAATCTGATCGTGGAGGCAACTGTGTGCACTTTTCATGAATGTTTGAGAGCAGAACATTCAGCTGCTTGGATCTTGTATCTCTACTAGTTTCCTGAAACAAATAAGTGCAATTTAGGCCATGCTGGAAAAAAAGAAAAGCATCTATTTCAGCATGTTATCTATCTGCAGTGAGACACTATCAGCAAAGCCACAGTTTAGCTTAGAGAAAGATGCTCTGTGAAGAGAGGTTGGACTCATCCTGATTAATGAAACCAAGACCCCGAGCTTTGAATTGGCCCACTGTCTTGCACAAAATCCAGGATCCCAAGAGAACCAAGCAGCTTTTTAGAGTGCTTGTGCTTTTCTGTTCATTCACAGTTTGTTTGTTAGATGTCGTTTGCATGAACAGTCAAGCAGTGTTTTAATTCTGTTCCATCGACGTTTTCAAGCCAAGTTTCCCTTTGGCACAGAACAGCGATACAGTTGTTCGGTTACTCAACTATTGTTAAAAGAGGCTTAGGTTAAGAGAGGGAGAGCAATTTGGATTATGCTTTATGAACTAATTAAATACTTATTTACATGCTGTGTTTGCTGTCCCCTGTACACAGAAGTTCTGGTTTAGGACTCATTTCATGTGTAGGTAATTTACAGCTTATTTCAACCTCATATCCTTGATGCATGTGCTTTCTTCTCACCACACAAAGAGGGAGACAAATTATTATCTCTGAGTCCCTTGACAATGCACAAGGGTCTTCTTCCTGGGGGAAAGAATTTTTGTAAAGCAAAATATGTGTTTATGTCTTACCTTTTTATAATCTCTGTTCAGCAATGGTCCTCAGAGAAAAAATAAGAGATTTTTAAAAATGTCAGAATACAAAGTTAGCCTTCTTGAGTCTTATTTAGACATGTAAAGAGATTATCCAATTTCTGGAGGGGTTGTTTACAAAGCACATCTGAACAGATCAGCTGCTTCTACACCTGAATGAAAATGGCAGCCTGAAGCCAATTATAGTCATGGGTTCCTCATCCACCATCTTCCAGCCAAGGATCTGCTTGCTCATCAACCAGCAACAAGCCTGGATTCCAGGCATCCCCCAGCATGTTCCCCAGGTGCCTGGGCAGGTGACCTGGAGGGCGTGAACCTGCTCCTGGAGCTGTGGTTCAGCCACACCACTTCCAACCCATCAGCACAGGACACTCAGGACTGTTGAAAACTTGGATGTCTACCAAGCATAAAATAAAGCCCTTCTAGCAAAAAATACTGATGAAATGAATTAAAATTCACTTTAAAATGTCAACAGGGATTGCTTAGCAAAGCCTACACTGATGCATTTAATTTTAATGATTTTTGCAGAGATAAAAGATGGGCCATTAAAACTGGGGCTGATGAAAGTAACAGGATGTTATTTACCGTGTTTCAAATGAAAGGTTTTCTGAAAGTTATTTATTAGCTTGGAGTAATGAATCTAGTTTGCAGGAATAAATGAAATTTAGGTCCAGCCAGCAAAGCAGTCCAGTTTGGTGCAACCTTTACCAAGGGAAGGAGGTTTTAGGAGAGGCACTTGCCTTGCAGGGAATCTATCTGCCTCTTCTAATTTGTAAAGCTAAACCCCTGCCACTTGGCTGAGTCTCATGCAGTCTTCATCACTGAATACTTAAACCAGCCTCTTTAACAGTTAATATTTGCCTAGCTTGCGTGTAGTAGTGTTTCCTCAGTAATCATTATTCATCCACATTTCATTCTCTAAATATTTACAGTTTTCTTTTCTGCGTTCCTGGGGTGATTTTCCCCCGTGCGTGTTTAGTTATGTAGCTCTACTATAAAAAAAAAAAGACAGTTTTAATTTGCTGGCATTTTGTAGCTTTTGTTCTGCTTGCAGAGTTTAACATTGATGAGTTTTGACAGACAACAAAGCCAGCCCATGTGCCTGACCAGCTTTTTGAGGGAGGTATATCCTCTTGGCAGAGTGTGAGGTGATGGGTCCCAGATGGAAGAGTTGCAGGGTGCAGCTGAGCTGGTTCAGTGAATTGCTCTTGGGAGAGAGGTCCTGTTCCTCTGCTCACTGTCCCCTTCCCCACCTGTAGTCCTGCCCAGCAGAGAGATATTTGGGATTCAGCAGGCACACATGGGTCAGCTCTGCTGCATCATGTAGGTGCACCATGATACCTCCAAGTCCATTTAGGCTGGCACTTATGTACCTGTTAATCTGCAATCTCCGATTATGTGTTGATCTTAAATGATTTCTTGAATTATGACCTGTTGGGAGGCTACAACAGAGTCTGGAAAAGAAAACATTCCCTCTCGCATTAGTGGGGTTTTTCATGTTTTATATGTGAACACAAAGTGGTCTCTGGACTGATGACAGAGCATAAAAGGTACTGCTGTATCACTGCTTTCATAGTTACTTGCTGCCAGTACCATCATTAAAGTGCTGAACTCTTTTGCAGGTTAATGAAATTTATCATGATGAGTCCCTGGGTGCTCACATTAATGTTGTCTTGGTGAGGATAATCCTGCTGAGCTACGGCAAGGTAAGTAAAGGTTAATTTAAATGGAGAATATCAATATCTATAAACTTCACTTGTTTATGAACAGTGTAGTTAATGGTGACTTGTATTGGTTTTGTATTGTAATTCATATATTGTCCTTACCAGTCTATGAATATAAAGAACTTTTATGTTTATATATATTTGTTTACCATTTGAACTAGACATTTCAAATAATTTCAGTTTCTTCTGGGTTTTCCCTTTCTCATTTGAAGTTGTTGCTTAGCTGTGGCAGTCTGTATTTTCAGATTTGTTTGGAATAATCCACAAAACATAGAGAGCATTTTGGTTCCTAAAGAAAACACGAGGTGTTCTGGTAGAACTGTATGTAAGCGACAATAAACACAAGATCAGTTCTGCAAGATGCTGAGGGCTACAGCCTCTTTCTAAGAACTCATTTATACTTGTGCTTATTATCAGTGGGACTGATACATGTACTTAAAGTTAAATGGGAGTTCTGTGGAATAGGGGCCGGAAGGCAAGAGCTCTGCAGATCAAATCTGTAATAAAGAATATTAAGTGTTTTTTCTCTCACTGTTCCTATGGAGGGGGTTACTCCACAGGCAAAACTTGAGTACAGAGGAACAAAATGTTAAATGCGTTTCAAAAGTATTGATCAGTTCAGTACCTGTGCCCTATTATTGTCACATCAACATCTAATTCCATGGAAACAGGAAGAGGGCGTTTCAAGTCTGTTGATAAACACTTTGGTTAAGGACATGTGATTTTAGCTCTCTAACACAGCAGCATGCCCAGCTGCTCAGAGCAGAGTGTTAAAGTCTAAGGCACCTTTCTGTAACTGGAGTTGCTGGCATTTGCATGTTCATGTAGTGAACCTGGGTTCTGGAAGACTCCATGTCTGTTCATGGAAGTTGTTGGAATGCTGTCGGCAAAAAGCCTGTGCAGATGTGTCAGTGGTGAAGCTCTACTGACATTCACCCATTTATCCTGCTCGATATCAGCTGAGAATTTTCCTCCCTGGTGCAAATGAGGGAGCTCTGAGGTTTAGTCTGGACTCTGCTGGAGACTGGTTACCTGGATTTGGGTTAATTTTTTTTATTGGAGCTTCCCCATCTGAGAGCTAAACACAGGAATTCATCTCTGCTTTTCCTGCAGTGATGTAGGTGATGATGAAGTTACGTGTTCTGGATAAGCTTAATCAAGTGTATGTCCTAAAATAAAAGGTAAAAAAGGTCATATTTGCCATTTTGAGACCGAAAGTTTATGGTGTGTGTAGTTAACATTGAATTACAAAATAATTGAAATACCTTTGTGATTGCTGTAACAACAACAATTTGAGGGATTGCAGATTGACTAATCTCTTAAAAATCTGAGGTTGCAATATTGGTGGAAGCCAACAGAATTAGTACATGGGCTAGTCACTTCTTTGCAGTCTTTAGTTCCTGGGTATTTCATGATTGTTATGTGTGTCTATCTTCAGCTCTATAAATCTGTACCAGTCTGAACTCTGATAACTTTGCCATTTTTCTGATGGCAGACAGTAACTACAGCAGTCTTCATTCCATTTTAAGAATCTTTATTTTCTTGTGAAGAGCAAAGACTTGTCCACTTATAATTTGAAAGTTATCGACTTCATATTAATCTTCTTTGGAGAGGAGAGTGGGGTGGAAGACAGAAGCCATCACTTCATGGTGGGTCTTTGGCCACATCACAAAAGCAGCAGTTGCAGGTAGCACTGTGTAATCTGCTTGTGGATGCACTGCTTGGGGATTCTAGATCCATAATCTGCAGTGGACAATGTTGCAGCTTCTGAGCTGTCCTGCTGGTTTCAGAAGGCCATAAGGTGTCATAATTCCACTGTCACAAGCTTGCCCTAAATAGCCAAGAAGATAATTTTTCTTGCATTTCTATATCTGATTCTTATTTACATGAAAGGCAATTTATGGCTTTCTGAAAAAAGTAAAAGGTATGTAAAAGATATAATTTCAAAGCTCCTCTACCTTACCGTGTGGGGACCTGCATGCCATGGCTGTATAAGAATACATTCTTTTATGTTCATATTTTAAAGCTCCTGATCAGAGGACTAGTACTGGGGAGTAGAAGGTGAGGAGATTTCTCTTCAGAGGTTTGGAATTATTTAGCAGTGGAAAAGCAGAGACAAAAGGTGCAGCATTCTTACTTCCATAACTTGCTCCGAGGAATTAGAACAAAGCCTTCAATCCTTTACTGTCCCACACATCAGTATTAACAATTTTTCAGGAATATATATTCAAAGTACATAATAAAATAAATGCAAGTTTCTTGCATGTGCAAGTTAAGGCAGTGCATGAATGAAGCAGCCTGGTTGGCTTCACAGTATGAAAATATTATCCCAGTCTTGTTTGAGTAAGATTTCTTTTGAAAGCATGGAGCTGATATCTTCAGATTCATTTGCTTCACTGCAGGCAATTTATACACATTATCAAGGGTGCCATTTAAATAATCATAATAATTACATTATGGTTCTGTAATTGATGAAGTATGTACCATCAACGTCAGTTTTATGACAGCACTCTCAGCTATTGCCAATTCTCCACCCCTGAGAAGTCTTCTACTGTATTGTGGGGTTTTTTTTAGAGGATTATTTTATTTTATACAATATGTCATCTGTTGATAAGAATAATATGGACAACACTTGAGTTGCATAGCAACCAACCTTTCACTGGTTCTTGCTTGAAGGTACTCCACTCCTTCAAATGTACTTATTTTTTAATGTTCTCAAACACAGGCAACTGTACATTCAGAAGTTTCAATAATTTCAGGAATTGCATTAATTGCCCTGGTAAGGTGAAAAAATGGAAGATATTCCTCTCTGATCACATGCTGAAATTACTTCAGGGACAAATTCAAGAGATCTGACATGGTTTTACTGAACTAGTACATTGTGTAAGTTATCACCTCTGGACATTGAGGGCATGGCAGGTTGAGCCCTGCCAAGGAGCACCAGGCTTGGGTGGTGTGTTTGGGGAGCAGGCAGAGTGTGGCTGGGCTGTGGCTGGGGCAGGTTTGCAGGAGCCACCAGCCCTTCCCTGACTCCCCACTCTTCTCTCAGTACTTCAAACCAATGATGTACCAGAGGGACTGATGTGAAGGCTTCAGCTGTGCGTGGCTGCTGCCCACTCATTTATCAATTCCACCATTAGGATAGAAAAATGTGTTCTGCAAAGGCTGCTTCGTATCTGCAGTGGCTCCAGAAGCCCCCATGGATTTCTCTGCATTTTCTTGACATTGACTCCCAAAGTCCCAGGCTCTTTTGATGGGATGGGATACTGCAAATAAGTAAACAGGGTACATGCAGTGCATTTTTCTTCAAATGGGAAAAAGATGAGCTGGCTCGCTCCTGCCTTTTTGACTTCAGTAGTAGGAAGATTGGTTCCAAATTTTGGAAGCTGTGGATACATTTGAGATTAATATAATTCAATGTTTGGGCAAATTATTCCACTTAGACCTATTTTGGTTGTAAGGGCTCTGTAATCCAGCTAGCTCTAGGATACTGAGGGAAATAAGCAGAGCAACCACTATCACCAAGTGCAGAGGAGGTGGCAAGAGATGAGCTGAGAATGCATTTAAAAAATCCTGACTGGTTATTATAAAATTTGTTTGGAAACATTTAAATCCTGAGCACTGCATAAAATCCTCTCATCGCCTCTTTGAGGTGGATGAATAAAGATTATTATTCCCACTTCACAGCTAAAAAAACAACGATGTTAAGAGTTATTTTCCAAGGCCACACGGAAGGCCACTGGCAGGCTGGGGATAAGACCTCATAAATTCCTGGCTCCAGCCCCACGCTCTGTCCATCGACAATGGTGACTCTGTGTGCAGATGAGCTGCCCTTGCACAGCACAGGGAAAAGCACACACATTAGCTGGGATGGGTGTAATTAACACAGTGATTAATGAAAAAAATTAGAGTTTTGCAGGAACTGCAGGGGTTTCAATAAATGCAGCTACCTGAGGATTTGTGATGGTTATTTCTTGGGAAATCTGAATGAGGCAGTGCAGGAACCCCGTAACTCCTTTGGAGCAACGTGCTGCTGGAGCCACCTGTATTCGGGCTGGAGCAGGCTGGGATAGGCTGAGGGATGGTGTGTCTGCTCCATACTCATCTGGAAGTGCAACCAGTAAGGAGAGAAAAGTCACGTAAGCTATCAACCAGTGTTGGCCCCAGAATGAGTGGTTGGACTCTGGCTGTGTGTCACCTTGGTTAAATTGAAAGAGGAACCTGACCACTGAGGCAGAAAGCCTTTCAAAAAGATTAGGGGAGGGAAGAAAATCCAAATGGCTTTAAGATGGCAGGTCAGGAAGAAGGTACTGTGGGCTGGATGCCTAAAATCTCACAGGACAGGACGGTTAACTGAGAAGGATTTTTCAACTGTGTATGTCTGAGATATTGGCAGAGCTCCTGCTGCCTTCATTCGGGACAAGATTTTACCTTTGATATTTTCATAAAATGATGCTCTCTTTATCTCTGCCATCTGACCTTTTCATGTCTAAGCTCAATACAAGCAAGGAAGATGTTCCTGGTTCAGCCAGGATGGAAAGTGCTGCTTTGGTCTGAATCAGTTTCTTCTCTCTGTTTCCCAGTGGGAGGCCTTGGAAGGACAAACCAGGTTTACCCCCTAAATCTGGTGTTCATCCTTACCATTTTGCTGCTGACCTTGGATGGAGGGAAAGGGATGAGTGCCTCCACCTATCTACACTTTTCCCAGGAAAGTGCCAAAACTCTGGCTGAGAGCATTTGTGCCTGGCAATGCAAGGAGGTTCTTAGCTGCACATTATGGTCACAGAACAGCTGTGCTTGGAATGGACCTCTGGGCACCATCTAGTCCAACTCCCCTGCTAAACACAAGGTCATTTGGAGCAGCTTGTTCAAGACCTCGCCCAGCTGTATTTTGAATATTTCCAGAGACTCCATAGTCTCTCTGGGCAACCCTTCCCAATGTTTGGCCATTTTTATAGTAAAACTACAGTAACACTCCTAAA